GGAAAAAAATTCTAGAAAAAGTTAGGAACGGGAGAAAATTAAGAAAGGTGGTAGATAGGATGAGGATAATGAGTGGGGCCGTACTCGAGGTCTAGAAATCTAGAGAAGGTCGTATTCCTGCAGAATTTTCCACAAGGACATGCGTTGTCTTAACCACTCGTGGAATCACGGATTATCAGGGAGCCTGACACTTATGAAGTAAATCGTCAGTCGTATTATGTAAAACCCTGTCCTATCTAAATATATTAGTTGAATAAAGCGAATAAATCCTTCAAGATTCAATACCTGCCTGAGTGTATGGACAGACCTGCTTTTTTAAGAGCTACGAAATCTACGCAGTAGCAGACTTACGTGTTTTCTTTCTTTCTGTTTTTCGATTGGTTTATGCTTTCTCGAAGGGCAAGCTCATGTTCAGCTAAGAGGAGTAGTCCAGCGACGGGAGGAGGGGGAGGAGGGTTGTGCTTTTGCTACTTCCCGTCGACGTCCATCAGTAAAGTACTGTAAAATCGTGTGAAGCCACGAAATGACATCATATAATTCCTAGAGATCACTCGTCAACTCTTGTAAGGAAGTACCACACAAATAACGTTTACCATGGTGACTCGACGAGCTTGTTCCAGCCTCACAAGGCATAAGTTGACTGGTTTCACCAGAGTGAGACCTGCAAATAGGAAGCAGCGTGTAAACCCTCCCACGCCGTCGCCAAACTGCCCCCAAGTAATGTTTTGTGCTGCTCATGTCGAATTTATGGACACGCTCCATATTTGCGAAGAAAGTGGAGCTGGTGGGCAATCTAGCTTAGTAAAAAAGTTCGTCAAACAGGAGAGCGGAAAGTACAAGCAAGCAAACAAAGGCCGCCACTGTGGCCCTACTTGCGTTGGCACACGTCTGTCAAGCCGTCTGAACTCGGCATATACCCCGGAAACATTTCTGGTCCGTAATGGTTTGAATCTAGTTCGCTGCGGACGGGGAGGGGTGTCGGGCGGATGAGTTTGGCGCAGTGCCATACCAGCTTTCTCCACCCTCGTTGAAGCGAGCATGTGACAAGGCTGCATCACATTCTTCGTATCTCGTTTTCTACCAGTTTTTGTCGCATACCCGCTTCATCACTGGCACAGAACAGCTTTAGCACCGTGGCGCAGTCTTACTGCCTGACACCCCCACGCCCCTTCTTCCGCAGCGTACTAGAGCACACAGCCTTGTTCGTTACAGCTACGACGTTCCAAGGGAGCTGGGCTCGGTGAGTCGCCTACCCGTATTCCACCAGATGTGAAAGCTGAGAAACAACCACAAGTGGTGGAGGACAGGCTGGCTCCGCGCCAGTCCCAGCTCCTTGAAATGCTTTATTGTTAGCAAACAAGACTGTACGCTCAGGCCAAATGAATCTTCCATGTAGTTAGGAGTATAAGAACAGACACTTGCACACTGGCTGCCCCGATATTCTTGGTGTGGACCATATCGCGTGCAATCTGTCGCTTCTCTGAAAGCGAGTAGACTCTGTGCCGCTCCCCAAACAAGGAATGATCAACGGCAAAAGTCTCATCCTTCGTCTATCTAAATAATATGGTTAGATTGGAAGTATCTGTTTTCCTAATATTTACTACATAAGTGACTGAACACCGCTTTTGTGAAACAACCTATAAAAAAATTTGGTCGATGCTTCGCCTAACGAGGGAGAACTCGATTTCGCCAAAGAGCAGCTGCAGCTCAGCAAGATTACCCTGAGATTTTCGGAAGGTAGCTGAATCTTATGTTCACTGAAACAATGCTGAAGAAGCATAACGTGTATTCTTCCAGGACATAAAATATAACCTGGGCTAATTTCGAACAACAAGCAACTTTGGCTCAGATTACATTCACATGCAAGCATACAATGGCCAATCAAATATTTTTGCTTCTTCAGCACTTTCGAAAAAATTAGTCGCTAGGAAGCGACGACCGCAAGCTAATCTTCGCCAAGAAGGAAGCAGTTTTGTCAGTGAGAGCAGCGTGGTGCCTCTGCAAACAAAATCACTACCTAAAAAACATACTGCTTACCATCCGCATTACTCTTTCATAAATGTACTCCTCATTCCTCAATTCCTGATTCCCAAAAAACTGCTCTGTACTTCCACGTTCACCACACACCCGATCAAATCTAAACCGTAAGGTACCAAATCAGTGTTCACATCGAAGGCGAGAAATGGCGGCGTCCGAAACCCCACCTCACCTTTTTACCAGTCCTGCTCCCATCTTCCTATGTCTTCACAACTTTCTATCTTTACCCGCAGTTCCCAATGACCTCAATAATTCCTCGGAAACTATATAGTGTCAAGTGCGGGGGAAGGGGGAGGGGCATCAACACTACCCACTTCTGATTTCAACTATCAGAAATAGAGAAAGGTGGACAACAGGACAAATCCTTTCAGGGATCAGAAGAAGTCTTATCAGAGGCGAATACGACCTCCCCTTCGAGACCAAGTACGACCGTTTCATCGGATTCTCCCCACGATAACGTTCTCTGTTCCAAACCCTTCGAAAAAAACGAAAGTTAAAAAATATACGAAATGCTTGACTAGGGCCCTATCGAAGCCGTCGAAGCTCTGACAGTTTCACTGAGTTTCAATCTTCATGCTGTTGGCAGCGTGAGAACCCCCATCACTTGGACAGAAAAAAAGATTCGCGTTCGCGAAAAAAGGGGCGGTCCCACGCTATACACCCAACAAAAATGGTCTGAAACCCTATACGTTAGAATAAAAAAAATTACGCAGGCTTCCGAACCTTTTTTCAGTATAACATGCTCATCTTCACGTTTATCTTCTTCAAACAAGTTCACAAAAATACATAACTATCGAAAACGCAAACTGATATCAGAAATATGCATTGAAACCATGTGGTTCAATGGCTGGTATAGACAACCTAGAAAACAAAAGAACATGAAACTGTGTTACCTCGGATGAGATAATGACAATCAAAATCACTACGAGAAGGGTTTCTGTTTAGGGTGAAAGCAAGTACGAGTAGAACTGTAGGAAAAAAAACCACTCCCTTGTCCTCCGTGAAACCGCGTTCTTACTTTGCGACTGAGGAGATTTGGCGATGGCGAAAACTCGACGATTCGCGCCCATCGCTAGTAAAATTCGGCGAGGCGCACGCGCTGGCAATTTGGGAGATTTAGCGATCTGATCGATACACATGAACTCACTTGACGCGCAAGCGCTCAAAATGCCGAGTCTCCCAAAACGTCGAATCGCCGAGTTTCTCAAAACGCCTGATCGCCCAATCTCCCACAACAGCAAATTGCCTAGTTTCCTCAATCACAAAGTATTAACACGCCTCAATATAAAAGACAAAAGCCAGGGCTAAACCACGTTTCTCACTCAGTAAGAAGAAATCCCGCACTGTTGAGAAGTACTCATAAACAATCCTAAACCGGATAGGTGTCAGAAGCGCATTTTCGAGTAGACGCTCTTAAACTGTAGTTATGAAAATTTAAGAAAAATTGCTTGGCTAGTAACAGTTCTTCAGACCTACTACAAATATGACACAAGCACTAAGCTTTAAAACAACAAATTTTCCACGTAACCGTAAAGTCATCGAATTCATGTCCTCTCCACGCCTACCTCATCACCACTTCGGTCACCACGTCTCGATAAACTACTCTCCCTTGAGCTGGATGATGTCCGCCGAGACCTTCGTTCCGTAGTACGACTGTGATGAGAATCTCTCTTGCGCCTGTCTTCTTCAAGTTGCTTCATTTCGATGAGAAGTTATACGCCCTTCAAGTAAAACGTAATGAGCAACCTGATGAGTAACCTTCAGTGAGGAATAAGAGAGATGAAATCAAGGCAGTGACTACCTTTCGCGTTTGCGCAGGTTTCTTTCACGTTGCAGCTTATTTCGAAATCGTTTAAATATCGACTCCCATTTCCCGTCGTGTCTCCTGCCCGAGTGGATGAAGATAATGTATAAGTTCGATAGAAAAATGCTTTCACAACAATTATAACCTCTTCTGTCTTTCGTCTCGTGGATCTTTTGAAGACTTGACAGCGAGAGTTCCGACATTCTTACCAACATTAGACGAAGTAGAAGGAGCGTCGACCAGTTCGACGCTGTCTCCAGACGCTACCGAACCAGCACTTGACCCCGGCTTGAAACCAACGATTTAGAGCGAAGGCGCACAAATGAACCATTCAGTGAAAGAACTCGCCCAACAGTACGTTACCTATACTTACCTGTCGTCTTGCATCGGCGAGACGGCCAAGTGCATGTCACCATTGTTGTAGACCTGTCGACTTGTCCATTCAAATTCCCTAGGAAGAGAGAATTCTCTGTGACTTTCTATTACAATTGGTCATGTATAGGTGCCTCTGTAAACGTCAAGTGGAGTTCATACTTTTCATCCACGCCCTCTCTCCTCTGCGTTCCCTCGAGCAGTCGACTGCAGCGTTCTTGACGCGAGGACTCAAGATAACAGTGAACCCGGTATCGACTTGTTCTCAGCGACTGCCCGCGGAGAAGATCAAAGTACTCCGCAGAGGGCCAGATGCCGCCGAAAACGCTCGAGAATGCACATCTACCCGCCTCGAAAGTGCCAGTCGACCACGTTGCTGGCCGCTGCTTCTCGTGTACCTACACGATTTCGTAGTGTGCTTAAGGCCGCTAGCGAACGCTGCCGTGCGCTGAGAGGAGGCTGACGAAACCCTACAAAATTACTCTCTAGTGCCCCATTATTCCGAATCTGAATAGTTTTTACCGAATTTTTCCTCCAAAAGCAGATTTGCATAAAATCTCTTCTGGGAGCGGTTAGAACTCCCGAAAATGAATTTTGCATTCGTCTAGCACCAATGTGCCCGGCGCTCGCGCCACAGGCCCTGGCGCCAAAGTGTTTTAAATTCGCCAAAGACTTCTTTTCGAGGGTAGCTTCATCTCGTGGACCCGAATATCACCTTCGCTTGCACGAAACTGCCCTTTGAGCAGGTGTGATATTTATATTCAAGGGGTCAGACCATCTCAGGAGAGAAGTTTTTAGCGACTTTGGTGAGTTACAGAATTTGGCGCCGGCGCTTGTGGCGCGCGCCAGGCACTCTAAGTCTCATAAGATGTTCGTGTTCAGGGGTCAAACTACTTTTGGATTCAAGTTTTAGGAAATCTGGAGACCTAGGGTATTTTTGGCCGGCGCCTGTGGCGCGGGCATCAGGCATTTCACGCCAAGCGACTGTGATATCCGTTCCAGAAAAGCAAGTTGTTCCCTGGGAGACGTTTTCAAGAACTTCATTGTTTGCACATCGTTATTATTAGAACAATATACCGCCAGACAGCATTGTCTGACATCTTTCCACGAGAAAGACTGGCTTTCGCCCACAATAATTTGATACCGTCATCAACATGTCAATCTTATTTTTGCAGGTGAAATCTTGACAGTCAAGCGTTTTCGCACAATAGGTTTAATTTCTCCGAAAACGCGTGACGTAAGGTCACCGTACGTTGGGGATCCCTAGTGAGGAGGCGCTATTTGGTCGGTCAAGGCGGGGTGGTACTTGAGTATTTGACACTTTGGGAAAAGGTTTTCGGTTGACTTCATCCTTTTTCCTTTTTAAGTGCATTATGTACCCTACCTCCTGAACGAGTGCCGCCGTGGTTTTGTGGAATAAATGGGATTTAAAAACGGAAAATAGTAGGAAGTTGGCGAAAGTTATGAAGATGGTAAGCAAAACGAATGGTGTGAAAGACGGGAGCATGGACCTTGAGGAAATTT